TAGAGGACTTATGTTATGGGGGAGGTACTCAACAGAGTGCAAAGTATCCCCCCTTATGTTAATCTGCCGCGCTTGAGTAAATCCTAAAATCCCCACATGGGCTCCCCTACTAAAAACAAAGTCCACAACTAAGCAAAAAAAAAACTGAAAAACTAGTTAATAGACAGACGATATAAGTTCAATAAATATACAAGTGACGTTAAAATAAGTGCTTAGATTCGTTACATACCATTATATTATATGTGATACACACAACAACCATTTACAATAACGTGAAACTAAACAACTATTAATATAACAAGCCATGCCCTCGGTTTTGTTTACTTTTTAATTAAATTAATCTTTTATGGCCGTTTTATATTGTTTTTTTTAAACCATGCGATTATTATAAATATATTTAAAATATATCATAAAGTACAGATTAAAAAAAATACAGACAAATTGAAAACCTCCTCCTTTTTGAAGCCGGTTGAAAATCGATTAACTTTAATGATTGATTTTAAAGTATTTTTTTTTATTTAATCGAATCTTTGCATGTTAATGTTATAACTAAAAAGTATTAATAGTGTTATATATTATTATTTATTGGTAAATATATAAATAATGTACAAACACGACCTTTTATATCCCATTATACATATTTATCCTTATAAAATTTAATCGTATTATTGACTGAACTTAACTAAGCAAGATTTCTTTATACAATTTTTCAATCAAGCACGTGAAAAAAACAACAAAAAATATAAAAATTAAAAAAAACCTATTTTTTAAATTAACATTTTTTTGTCTAATATTTTTTTGTACAAGGTTTAAAACAACAAAAAATATAAGTCGTATCCGTTATATCCGTATTTTATTTTAATATATTAATTCAAAACTATTAATGTACATTATCAGACATCTACTTTACATCAAACATTTTATTGTCTATGTACACATATTTATAATTTTGGACTGGATTTTTCCCCATTGATTTTTTAAATCCCTTGTTAATTCGTCTTGAAAATGTTATCTTCTTCTGTTTTGTATTTCTTCCCATTAATTATAACATAATATTACTTCAGTGTGTTTAGATATAAGAAGTCAAATAATTGTAGTACTAGCGACTCTAGCGTCCCTAGTTTTTAGTATAGTTGCGTTCCCAGACAGACAGAAAAAAATATCCTAAAAACTATAGATTCGGCCTCTGTATCGATAATAATGACTATTTCAATAAGATTTTCCAAAAAATATTTCATGTACAGATTCGGCTTAGTTAGAACTTTATTATATGGTATATATTTTACATGGACGAATTAGAGACTGGACCTGACATAAAATACAAATGTATGAAAACTAGTTCAACCAAGTGACACATAACGCACACAAAGATTTTATTACATTATTATAAACACTGATACACAATACAATATTTCTAGTGCTTGAACGTAATCGATAAAATACATATATCGATGAACCAATGAATGACATTTTAGACATTGGTTAGCATAGTCATCATATTTTACATCTTTTAATTTAAAATATCTGTATTTATTATAATAAATTAAAATAAATGAATTAAAGAGGCAATTATAATAATAATGTGTCAAATAATAATTATTTTTTAATTTGATTTATATAAATACGATGGCATTGATGGCAACATTCTGTTGGCCTATAATAATGTTAATAAACAAGTGAATATCTGGTGTATATTCCATTGATATATATTAAATATTATTTTGTAAAGATTAAAAAAAAATTAAGCTAATTTAATTAAATAAAGTGATTTTGTTGATTCTGTTATTGAACTATTTTAATTGGCAATTGATTGTCTCGGGTAGTTATAAAAATGTGACACTGTCCTAATATTGCTCAGTTATTAATAAACATTTGTGAATTAGGAAAAAGAAAAAGTGATTGCAAATTGTGAAAAAGTGAGTGTTGGATCGTGAAAGTAAAATAATTAGTGCAAGTGGTAAAGTGTTTTATTACAAATCGCCAACTCAGAAGTTTAGTGCTAAAACATTATTGTTTGATTTTGTGTAATTTACGTGTTGAAATAAATTGATCTTTATTATTATTACAATGGAATAATATTCCAAAGTATATAAATGTGGTATAAAATAAAAAATTAAGTACACATACTAATTATAATTTTTTGCATTTATATTTTTATTTGATTTAGAAAATATTTTTATAAATTTATTGTCATCAGATTGTAGGATACTGTGATAAAAGTATTTTATGTTATTGTACTGTACAAATAACACAATTCGTTCAGTTATTTCGTCAAATATCGATATATTTTTCGACATTGTCAAGCACTAGTAGATGTCAAATGGACTCACTCGACAGTTTTGTCATTTGTTCTGAATGGTATAATCCAGCCCGTTTATGATGGTTGTCAGATGTCAACAATACATAGAAATATCGACTATATTTAACATAGTTGGATAATATGACATTTTATTTTTAAATTTAATTAAAATTTCTGATAAATAAAAATAAATGTAATAAAATAATGTATTTACAAGTGAAAAGAAATAGTGTTGCTTCCGCCGTTATAGTTTTTACACCATTTAACAAAACATTTAGTCATTTTTGGGCGATGTTTTGTTGACAAGTAAGTGCTCGAGACTGACACAAAAAACAAACGACCTAGGCTAAAATTCCTTGGTTACTGACATGACCGTTAAAGGTACGTCCGCTTACATGTCTGGTCCAGTGGTTAATTCGTTCATGATATTTTATTATATAGATGATGTAACATTAAATTTATTGAGAATTTGCAAGTTTAACCATTTCCTCACGGACTTACATGTTAATATTTAATTTAAATTAAAAAAAAATAAGTATTGATTCAAAAGTACTTGTAAAAGTCTATTTGAGTAAACTATATTTTATTTTATTTAAACAATTAGTTATAAATTGTAAAAAATTGTTTTGTAAATAACAAACTTCACTTTTCACAAAATATCTTTTATGATAAACTATTGTAATCCATACAGATAAATAAATTTGAAGTGTCTGTTTGTAATGTCAAAATAGCAGCTTTTTACTAAATGCATATGAAATGTACGGTACTTATAAGAAAAAAAAATCAATTTTTAAAATGTTTGTCTGTCTGTTTGTTCCGGCTAATCATCGAAATGGCTGGATTGACTTTCACTGGCTTAGCTGATGTTAAAACTGAGTAACTTAGGCTACTTTTATTTTGGGAATAGAATTAAGGCTCCGCTCAAAAAAATTAAAACGTACCTATAGGACACATGCGAGTGAAACGGGAACAAATCACACAGTCAAATGACATTTGAATCGCAATAAAGTAACAATTAATTACAATTACATTATAATGAATCGTGTGAAGTAAAAATATATTTATCAAAACTCAAATATGTTATTTAGAACATACATACATTTAGGATACGGCCACAAAAGGCAAATGATGTTATAAATAATAATCAATTATAGTAATAATTTCTGTCTTATTTGTTTGGTCTGAGTTTCATGATAGATAGGACCCAATCTTAAGTTTGGGCGGTTCTAGAATTTGAGATACTAATGTTCTAAATTCGATTATAAATTATAAAAATAAAAAAAAACCCCTATGTAAATTGTCATTTAACGATTACACTGGCACGCGTGAAGCACTTAATCGAGTAATCATACGCCAAAATGCCTTACATCATTTTGGAAAAGAGCTGATACTCTTACACTGCTGAACCGATATTAACCAAACATAGCTAAGAACTACCGCAAGGAAACTGGCTTTCAAATAAAAAAACCGCATCAAAATCGGTCCATCCGTTTGAAAGCTACGATGCCACAGACATCGATGTCAAACTTATAACACCCCTCTTTTTGCGTCGGGGGTTAAAAAACGAATTGGAAAACATTATGTTAGTATCAAAATAGTAGGTATTTTTCATATAAAACACAATATTTAAATAACTAAGACGTTAACTGGGCTTAGTTATAGAACGGATGAAAAAACCGTTATAAAGTATATATAGCAAAATATATTACGTACATGAAGAAATCAACATTTGTAAAAAGAAAAGAAAAATATTTTTTAAAGACCATAAATGTTAGCATTCAAACTATGATTGCTGATTATTAAAAATAATAACCATTTTTTTTTAATTTTCCATTTAAAAACAAATGTGAAATACTACACTGTTAGCAACCGTTTTTATTTCATTAACATAGACTATCTTTTTTTATATATCCATCATTTAATATTAATCTATACTAATATTATAAAGAGGTAAAGTTTGTGAGTTTGTGAGGTTGTAGGGGGTAATCTCTGGATCTACTGTACCGATTTAGATGAAATTTAGTAACAAGATAGTTTGAGACCTTGGGAAGGATATAGGATACTTTTTATCCCGGAAGTCATCCCTCTAGGGGGTGAAAATGGGGATGAAAGTTTGTATGGGGAATCAAGCTAGGGACGAACCCGAGCGAAACGAGGGTGAGTCGCTAGTGTTATCAAATAGCATTTGGCTTAAAACGAAAGTTCAGTAAAATTTAACAGATTAAAAAAAAAATAAGTCACAAAAAAGTACTTCCAACCAAATAATGTGAATCAACAAATTTAATACAGCGAAAAAAAACCTAAATCATAAAGATATGAAAATATGATGTTAATTGTTTTAAGTAACCATAAACCATGTAGTCCACTGTGATGGCATTAAAACCGCTATCAATACATACATAATATATGCAATTCTTAGATATTTAAAATTTTCTTTTTGTTATTATTTATTGAAAAAAAAATGATAATTATAAAAAATTGTAGACTTTAAGAGGTACGCTACGAGTAATGTTAAAAATATTCAATTCGGTATAAATAAAGCTTGCAGTCCACCGCTATAAGTGAGAGCTAATGTAGCTGGTTAGTAAAAAATTTTATCGTAATTTGTACGTGGTTTTTGGAGATCAAAAAATTTTTTGGAATTTGTTTCAATATAAAATTAAGACTGTTAAATAATAGAAATAAAGCTTGTAGCACACTAAGATAATTCGAAACCAGTGTTGCTATTTACTGCATATCGTAGTTTATCCCTTAGAGTGCTTCGTTTTTGGTAATTCGGTAGCTTGAGTAGATTGAAACATGTCGAAGACGTAGGAAGTCGATTCAGTGGATCTTTCTTGCGTATCGTGAAGAATCCGCGTATTACGCTACCTGTAATAAATGATAAAATAAATATTACCATGGTAATATAATAAAATTTGGTATATTGATAGTCTATGTAGGTTTGCATCGTATAATATGTATGATTCTAGAACGTACATATTTTAGGATCCCACATTATGGTATTCAAGGTTGGAATTACTAAAATGATTTAAATTTTAAATTAAACGTAAGATGTCATATTGTGAAAAAGTTCAATAGACGCGAAAACGCACAGACATAAAAACTACCAATTAATCTTATGTTACAGAGACAGCATTTCCAAATATAAATTAATAATAACATTCTGCAATTTAATGTGATTTTATTACAAAGGCTGTGCCCTATAACTATATTACTACAAAAACTAATAATATAAACATTACTGGCATTGTCGCACGACTCCTACATAGAGTATTTACATAATCTATATATTTTTTAATTACTAGCAGAAGCGTAATTTAAAAATATATAGATTATGTAAATACACGATTATGTGAATATAGATTGAAAGCTGCTACACCCGTGTTCAATCTACAAAAAAAACTCTTTGGCTTTATGTTATACAGTTATGTATTTATATAATATTGTTCATACAAAAATACTAAAATCGCGATTAAAAAATGGGGGGTGGGGTATGAGGATGAAATACTTTACGACCGATTCTCATACCTACCTAATATACAAAAAAATCATTAAAATCGGTCGAGCCGTTTCGGAAGAGTGCGACCACAGACACCGTGACACCAGATATTTACATATTAGATAGTCTGTGTTACTCTGATATATAAACTGTTACTATGGTTAATCTTAAAAAAGTATTCAGTAGTTTTTGCGTTAAATAACAACACACATACATACATATGTCCAAAATTCCAGGCAATTATTTTCAAAAAAATTCCTATTTACAATGTTAGTAGGATAAGACTCAACTCTGTTATTTAATACTTTCTTAGATCTACGCGAATATTTAAAAAGATGTAACATAATATAAATTTTAAAATGTTTAGAATTAAAATCAACAAAATATATTCTTAAGGTACTTTGGTGCCATTTTTGAATACATTTTGTAATTTTGTAGGTAAGCCGTCTGTAACAACATTATAATTCCTTTGAGACGTGTAAAACTTTAACCTCTCCCGTAGCCATGATCGCTGTAAAGCATTCGATAGGTTGGGAACCAAAAATCTAAATAAATCCGCGAAAAAATCTGTAAAGATAGATTTATTTAAAATCTCAGATAATTAAGTTAAACGAAGCTCGAGATATTTAAAACGTTATTCTCACCTATAGTATCGCCAGTATCTTCATCGTCACCCACTTCGACGCAGCGTATGGAGAATGGCGGCTTTAGATGTGCGAACCCGAGCACTGGAGGCTTGGAGCACGACGTCACAAACTAAAGGGCCGGGCAAGATTTTAATGTATATAAATAAAAATTAATGTTCGTATGTTTGTCCTTGTTCGTTCCTAAACAATTGATCCGATTGTGATGAAACTCTGGTAGGTTAATTTTTCTACGTCTGCGAAAGTTCCTGGCCTAAAAAAAAAAAGAATTTTGCTTTGGGCGTGTCTTTTATGTGTTCCTAAACAACTGAAACAGATGACCAAAAACCAAATTCTTAGGTTTTACATATTAGTATACTCTTATATTGCAGTTTTAGTATTTTTTCTCAGAAATAAGATATTTTCCCGCGAAAAAAAGTATCCTATAATATGTTGACCCGGATAACCAGTTATTACCATATCAAATTTTATCAAAATCCCTTCAGCGGTTTTTCTGTGATGCGGTAACAGACAGACAGACAAAAATTCTATAAACTATAGATTCAACCTCTGTATCGATAATAATGTCTATTTCAATGAGATTTTCCAAAAAATATCTAATGTACAGATTCGCCTTAGTTACAATTTTATTATTTATGTATAGATGTAAGTATGTACATATTTACGTATCTATATGTATGTATATATGTTTATATGTACACATATATTATATGTACATGTATATATTTTTATCGTATATAAATATTTGTTTGTAAACGTAGTACCATGCTTGTATTTAGTATTAACTGTACCGTCCCGTCTACAGTTCCACTAATCCTTTCACCAAAGGTTGTAGAGATCGTTCATAGCAATAAGACAGCATTTGGATGCCTTTTGGGGGTTTTTTTCATCTTCTGTATCTCTCTTCTTTTGTGTGTTCAATAAAGTATCTATCTATCTACGAGGGTCTCGCTACCAGGGTTACAGAAGCAAGCAGGAGCCGTACCTTAAGGAACATGGCGCGCTCGTTCTCGGTGAAGTCCCGCTGCAGCACGTCCCACAGCCAGCACACGACGCGGTGCGAGTCGTGGAAGCCGCCGTAGTACTGCGTGTGGCGGCGCAGGTCGCGCAGGTCCAGCGGCACGTTGTCGCCGCTGATGAGGCGCTGCAGCTGCCGGGGCGAGGGTTGTAGGAGAGATTCATTCATAATAATAAATGTGTTTACAGCACCATCCAGTTCCATGGTAAGCTAAGAGGCTTGTGTTATGGATACCAGATAGTTGATACACTACACATACATATAACGTTAAATAAATACATATCATAAATATAAACGTGCTATATAGCATATATAAATATAAAAGCCAAAAGTGTCGTCATTTGTTGCTAGTTGCGAAGGTTTGAGGATATTGTTATTAAAAAAAATCGAACTAGTACAAGTCAGGCTCGCACATCTACGGTTCCTTTAAAGCATGAAATATTAAAATAAGTTTAAAATCGGCGTTTTTTTTATAATGTAACTAACTCTTTTGCGAATGTCAAAATATACGACATAAAATGCCGTATCTTTTGTTTGTGTTAACTTAGAACTCTCATTTTTTCACAAATCTTACAAGTCTGAGTATTTGATATTAATTTCAACTCGATACCTCCACGCCATGAACGAATTAACCACTGGACCAGACATGTAAGCGGACGTACCTTTAACGGTCATGTCAGTAACCAGGGAATTTTAGCCTAGGTCGTTTGTTTTTTGTGTCAGTCTCGAGCACTTACTTGTCAACAAAACATCGCCCAAAAATGACTAAATGTTTTGTTAAATGGTGTAAAAACTATAACGGCGGAAGCAACACTATTTCTTTTCACTTGTAAATACATTATTTTATTACATTTATTTTTATTTATCAGAAATTTTAATTAAATTTAAAAATAAAATGTCATATTATCCAACTATGTTAAATATAGTCGATATTTCTATGTATTGTTGACATCTGACAACCATCATAAACGGGCTGGATTATACCATTCAGAACAAATGACAAAACTGTCGAGTGAGTCCATTTGACATCTACTAGTGCTTGACAATGTCGAAAAATATATCGATATTTGACGAAATAACTGAACGAATTGTGTTATTTGTACAGTACAATAACATAAAATACTTTTATCACAGTATCCTACAATCTGATGACAATAAATTTATAAAAATATTTGCTAAATCAAATAAAAATATAAATGCAAAAAAATTATAATTAGTATGTGTACTTAATTTTTTATTTTATACCACATTTATATACTTTGGAATATTATTCCATTGTAATAATAATAAAGATCAATTTATTTCAACACATAAATTACACAAAATCAAACAATAATGTTTTAGCACTAAACTTCTGAGTTGGCGATTTGTAATAAAACACTTTACCACTTGCACTAATTATTTTACTTTCACGATCCAACACTCACTTTTTCACAATTTGCAATCACAATTCTTTTTCCTAATTCACAAATGTTTATTAATAACTGAGCAATATTAGGACAGTGTCACATTTTTATGACTACCCGAGACAATCAATTGCCAATTAAAATAGTTCAATAACAGAATCAACAAAATCACTTTATTTAATTAAATTAGCTTAATTTTTTTTTAATCTTTACAAAATAATATTTAATATATATCAATGGAATATACACCAGATATTCACTTGTTTATTAACATTATTATAGGCCAACAGAATGTTGCCATCAATGCCATCGTATTTATATAAATCAAATTAAAAAATAATTATTATTTGACACATTATTATTATTATTGCCTCTTTAATTCATTTATTTTAATTTATTATAATAAATACAGATATTTTAAATTAAAAGATGTAAAATATGATGACTATGCTAACCAATGTCTAAAATGTCATTCATTGGTTCATCGATATATGTATTTTATCGATTACGTTCAAGCACTAGAAATATTGTATTGTGTATCAGTGTTTATAATAATGTAATAAAATCTTTGTGTGCGTTATGTGTCACTTGGTTGAACTAGTTTTCATACATTTGTATTTTATGTCAGGTCCAGTCTCTAATTCGTCCATGCTCCACGCATTCCTTAGAAAAAGGGTCTCGACAGACAGACAGACGGACAACGAAGTGATTCTGTCAGGATTCCTTTCTTAAAATTATAAAAAGAATTGTGAAAATATTTATACATATTAAAAATAATACAAATTACATATATGGAACAGCTACCGTTCTATACCAGTTTTGTGTGAAAAATAGCTTTACCGATACAAACTTTGACCTCCCATCTCATTAGGGATATATATATTATATACATTAGGGATATTTATATATAAGTCAGTCAGAAAAAGCAACTTTATGCTTAGTTTTGAATATCAACATACACATAGACACATAATCTTTCAACCTCTACACGACCATAAAAACATTTTAAATAGTTAAATATAAATAATTTACCTCAGGCGTGGAAAATAGCGAAAGCCATTCTGGATTAATAATAGTTCTGAATCCCTTAATGAAGGCGTTGGTCTGATCTTTGATTTGAGTATGCATTCGGAAGTGCGCCATCAGATGTATATAATTTATCCTAAAAAAAAAAAAATGAAATACATATAGTATTAAAATTTGTTGTGCATTCAAAATAAAGAAGGTCTCATAAATAAGTATTCCTTCTTCTAAAAAAACAAACGTTTTAGCTAAAATTATTATTTAATAATATTGAAACACATATAGGTTAACCCCACCCCTTAAGGGATGATTTCCGGGATAAAACTATCTTATATCCTTCCCAGGGTCTCAAACTATCTTCATACTAAATTTCATCTGAATCGGTTCAGCGGATTTTAGTTTATCCATTACAAACAAACATACAAAATATAATAAATCATTTTTTTCTCTTTATAATATAAGTACAGATTAAAATGTGCCCAAACTTTAAAATCAAAAAGCAAGTAATTATTATAGATGTTTTTTTTTATTTATATGAGACCACCCTCGAGGTGTAAACCTTTTTTATAAAAAAGATAATCGCAACAATTGGTTTTAACGAATATCACATAATAAAAACACAAATAAAAACAACATAATTGAGAACCTCCTTTTTTGGAATACCTCCTTTTTTAGTCGGTTAAAACAGATACAACATAGGTTATATAAAATGTTATCAAAATACAAAACTTACTTATTTTCATTAGTGACAGGTATAGCTTTACCACCTGGTACCAGTTCGTGAGTCACAATCTCACCCAATCTCTCTTCATCCACGGAGAAAGTGAGTTCTAAACTGGAAATGTCACCCTGAAAAAATATTTAAAATTAATTTAAAATAGGTGATTTCTTTAAAAATTTTCATGTACTATAACAAAAATTTAAATCAAGCGCGGGTCGGACTTGCACACGAAGGGATCCGTGACATAATCGATTATTTTTATTTGCATGGCGGCCATTTTTATATCGGCAACAGAAATTACACATTGTGAAAATTTCAACTCTGTACCTATTACGGTCTACGAGACACAAGCCCCCTGACAGACGGTCAGACATACAACGGAGGCTCAGTAAATGAGGCCCGTTGGCACCCTTGGTTACGGAACTCTAAAAATACTCAAAATAATAATAAATACATAATAATATATTCTATACGTTTAACACTAATATACCTGAAAATGCTTTATATAAGTGAGACTGCGGTACAAGTCGCGGTCCAGGGACGGCAGCTCGTCAATCCAGCTGTACAGCGCCTGCTGCGTCTGCCCCAACACTTGGCTGAGAAAGAACGAGGCGAAAGGCACGTCCACTACGATACCCTGCAATAATAATAAATATGTTGCTACATTAACACACTGCACCATCTAGTTCCATGGTAAGCTACGAGGCCTGTGTGTACCAGATAGTTGATATACTACTCATATTAACATTAAATACATACATATTATTAATATAAACAACCGTAAATACAGAAAAAATACCAGCAATAAAGCTGGATGCTACATGCATGCAGCTTTAAAGTTAATTAAAACCATTATGTTCGGTTGAAGTAAAACTTCTTTAGCAAATATCGCAATTAATTTAAAACAAATCAATAATTAAATAATGCATATTAAGCATATTACAATCATATATTTATAGAATACCATATACAGAAAAAAATATAATATTATATATTTGTCAGACAATAACAACAGTTACCATAGCGACATGGCAATGTATTCTATCTCAATCTCTCGCCGGCTTGTATTCAGCCCTTTTTAACGTCCCACTGCTGGGCTCGGGCCTCCCTTCAGTATGAGGGGGAATCAGGCCGTAGTCCACCACGCTGGCCAAGTGCGGGTTGGCGGACTTCACATGTCTTTCGAAAACTTGCTAGGTTCTCTCAGACATGCAGGTTTCCTCACGAAGTTTTCCTTCACCGAAAGGTAAGTGGTAATCATGTTAGAAATGATTCATTCGCACATGAAAATATCAGAGGTGCCCGAGGGATTTGAACCCGCTTCACTCGGTTTCCCAAGCGAGCGCGTTACCACTGGCCTACCACTGCATTCTCGCCAGCTTAATCCTACATATTTATGTTTGTCTTTTTTAGCGTTGCATTTTCGTTTCATCGAGTTTCAAATCACAACGATCCTAAAGGAGTTCTTAGACTTCAAAAAGAAACCTATCACAATTAAATTTATGTGTCCATGTAAGTAGCAATGTGTATTTTTTCCATGGTGATAAATATCTTTAATTAGAACATAAACATACTTCATAAACAGCTTTCCCGAGCATCCGTCCGATGAACTCGAACAGCTGCAAATGGTTCTCCTGCAGGCACGAGGTGGGCGACGGGTACAGTCTTTCCTCACTCGTCACACGGAACAAGTTGAGTGACGGGTCGAACACTCGTTTGATCGTTTCTTCTAGAAACTCTGTAAATTATAAAAGAAATTAAAATATCTACTGATATAATGCAAAGCTATGTATTTGATTTGAATAAAATATTATCGTGATTTTTTTCATATTAAGTAATAGAATATTGCCTATAAAATTAATTGTAATTTAATGCAGCACTAGTTCAAGCCTGCGGCTCCGCTTACGTTGTATATTTATAATTATTGTTCTTAAAAATCATAAATTCTGGCGTGAAATTTAGAGATAAACGCGTACATATAAAAAAATCTTAGTTTTACATTAGCATAGATAATTCATGTTTTTGCAGGCAAGCATTTATATTTAGTACCTATGGACCGAGTATAAAAAGACCGTTAAAGAGTTTCAAAACCTTAATTTGATCAGTCCCAGCAATACCTAACTCTTGATTATTGATGAACCTAACTCGTATTACGGTGCAAATGGCTCTACGATCTACATCCGTCATCTTATTCTAAACCCCATTTCTCCCATAGCAGAGTGTACTATTTCGAGCAGCTCCCTGATCGTTTTCCAGTAGCCCATGCTCACCCTTGAACACGCCATCCTGGTCAATGCCCGCCTCGTCCAGCCCCTGCTCGTTGATGAAGCGCACGCGCACGACGCCGCGCAGCGCGCGGCTCGGCAGCGCCGCCAGCTGCCGGTAGCCGTCCTCCACCAGGCGCGTGCGGCGCACCGTCACCAGCGTGGAGCGCCCGCCGCACGCGCGCTCCGTCAGACCTAGCACTACCTGGGAACCATTATGTACATATTATTCTATACTAATATTATAAACAGGTAAAGTTTGTGAGTTTGTGAGATTGTGAGTTTGTAAGTTTGTGAATTTGTGATGTTGTAGGGAGTAAATTCGGCAAGAAGATAGTTTAAAACCCTGGGAAGGACATAGGATACTTTTTATTTTGGAAATCGTCCCTTAAGGAAATGAAAATGGGGATGAAAATTTGCATTGGGAAGCAAGCTAGGGACGAACCCGAATGAAACGAGGGCAATTCACTAGTTAACGATAAATTGATTATTTCCCAAGGAGGGTTGATGTCAGTCAAGCGGCCAGTCGTAAAAATTGCCAAATCCTATCAGCAATACGGAACATATACTCACCGACCCCAAGTGATTGGGAAATGGGCGTGGAGATGATGGCCATTAACAATTAATTATTTAATGAATATAATAATATAATAATAAAAAAATATATGTACCTTTTCATCTGCAACAGCTCGTCTGAACAGTCTGACGCGCTCGCCGTGAGCGATCATGTGTGGAGTCTTTTGTACGAGTACCTGGTGACGACATAGATTGTTAAATACAAAGCCTAAACAATAACTTTTTGGCTAAAATGTACGCATACCTCTTAAACGTTTTAAAATGGGTCACATAGTATGGGTACGTTGCTTAGCTTGTTTAACCAGTAAGTCACCAAATGCATTCCCAATATAATAAAAAAGTTATACATATAACAAAGCAGTTCCCTTGCCGTGAAAAAAAAATACCGGTAAAGTACGAGTCGGACTTACACAAGAAGGGAAGAATCATGTTGATCAATACCAGCATATTTTTTTTTTAATTACCACGGCGGCCATTATTATTTATAGATAAATTTGCCATCTTGTTTTTTTTTTTATTTGATGTTAAAGCGGCATTAGCAATACTCACAGTGAAAATGTAAACTCCCTATCTGATACGCTTCATGAGATACAGCCCACTAACAGACCATTGGTACCCATTGGCACCCTTTGGATACGGAACCCATCGATCAAAACGAACTAGATACACAATCTCATTTTCTAAAAGTTCTCTTAAAACTGTCACCAATAGTGTTAAGATAATTATTCTAGTTGAAATAAATATACAACAATGTAAATTGAACCTTAAGTGCAACACTTAAACGTATTTCCATAAAAAAAAATTAAAACGCGCTCAAATGTTCAAATGAGCGCTCATTCTGTGATAACATTTTTTGTCGTTAATTGTGTATCTATACTGTATTTGCCGAATGAACCGAGCACTGTGATTGTGCGTTTCCACGTGATTGGTTGCAGATAAGCCGCTTAGGCCGCGATTACAATGCAAGTCATAATTAGTCCGTCGTTGCATTCCGTACCGTTCAAACGTCTCTCGTGTAATAACCAGATTTATTATCAATGTAGGAGATGACGGTGATACGTTGGAAAGTGAAAATTAATAGATAATGAATACAAATATTTAAAAATACAGTGAATTTTACTTTAATGTTGATTTTATTTTATTACAAATTATTAATTATTCCTAACTAAAGCATTAGCAACATGAACGAGCCCTATGACTTGGAACCAGTTGCAAGCGTTAGTGGGCGGAGCTGGACAGTTTTCTGTCCTTATCAGCTTGTATGCTAATGTGGTACAGAGAAAGCGCTTTGCATGGTTCACTCCGTGATCATAATGTTTCGTTCGATGCCGGAACTGTATAGAAATGTGACCTGTTGTGGTTTCTTGCCCTTCTCCAGGTCGGCCATGAACTGCGTGTCGCGTATGTCGCGCACGAGCCAGTGCTGCGGCGGCGCGAAGGCGCGGCGGCAGTCGCGCCGGTACAGCGCCAGCAGCAGCGTGTGCAGCGACGAGAACACTTCGTTGCTCTGTATCGTTTTCAGATCTGGAATTGAATGATTATTTATGTAAAACTTCTTTTTTTAATTGAATTAATTGAAGTAAAACGCACGCTTTACTTGGAGGGTAATTTGGTGAATGCGTTAAGGAAAAATGTCCGTAAGTTCGTTGCCATGGTAACCGTTGTTATCGTCCGACAAATGATACATAATATTATTATGATATGTGTACGAGGCGAACGTTTGTTGTTATGGTAACCGTTGTTATTATCTGACAAATGATATATAATATTATATTCTTTCCTTGAATGATATTCTATAAATATATGATTGTAATATGCCTAATATGCGTTATTTTTAATATCTCACCTATCCTAATTATTTAAAAAATAAATTAAATTTCATAAAGAGTACTGATAACCTAAAGAAGTTTTACTTCTTGCGCGTGTACACATTCATACACGCACTATTTAATTTTTTTTTATTTATCTATACTAATATATTATAAAGAGGAAAAATTTGATTTTGTTTATTCCAATCTGAATTAGTGCTTGACTACGTTCCACCTGATGGTAAGTGGTAACGCAGTCGTTGATGGTAAGTCGCACTAATTTGTTTATTTTTTACAGAATAGGCTTTGAAAGTATTGAACTGATTTAGACGAAATTTAGTAAGAAGATAGTTTGAGACCCTGGGAAGGACATAGGATACTTTTTATCCTGGAGGAAAGTTTGCACGGGGAATGAACCCGAGCGAAGCGAGGGTGAGTCGCTAGTCTAATATATAAATATCTCGTGTCATGGTGTTTATGGTCGCACTTCTTTGAAACGACTCGACAGATTTTAATGTTTTTTTTTGTATATATGGTAGGTATAAAAATAAGTCATAAACTATTTATCACCCTCATACCCCACCCCCCATTTCTAATCGCGAGTTTAGTAATTTTGTATGAACAATATTATATAAATACATAGCGACGAACCCGAACGAAGCGAGGGTGAATCGCTGTATGATATAAAGCTAAAGAGTTTTTCTTGTAGATTGAACGCGGGCGTAGCCGCGTGTTCTTCTAGTAAATTCTGGTGAATCATGCTGTATGCGAAGATTTCTAGCGCAAAGAAAAGAATTTCTCTCTTATGCGTTCCTAAGACATTTTGATTTATAATAAGAGTCTAGTATATAAAATATTCCCAAAGGGTCAGTCTAAGTAATTCAGCCACAATGTCGTTATTATTATATATATAATAATCATATTATATATATTTTTATCATATATATATAATATAATAGATCAGTTTATAGAGCATACCAAATAATTGTCCTATGATGGATTTGTATATAAACATGTTGAGGAACAACGACATGTTAAGAAAATCTTGCAACTTGAATGGATCCTGCTTTTCATACATTTCCATATCGTCCAATATTCTGAAATAAAATAACAAATAATATTTTATATAGCAATAAATAGTATTATGTAGAGAAAAAGATTTTTATTAAATACTAGCATTGCCCGTGGCTCCGCCCGCGTTCAGATGACCAAAAACCAAATTTTAGGTTTACATATTAGTATACTCTTACATACAAGTTTTTGTATTTTTTCTCAGAAATGAGACATTTTCCCGCGGTAAAAAGTATCCTATATATTGACCCGGATCACCAGCTATCACCATACCAAATTTCATCAAAATCCCTCCAGTGGTTTTTCTGTGATGCGATAACAGACAGACAGACAAAAATTCTAAAAACTATAGATTCGGCCTCTATATCGATAATAATGTATATTTCAATAAGATTTTCCAAAATATCTAATGTACAGATTCAGCTTAGTTACAATTTTATTATATGTGTAGATTATGTATAATCTAATATATTATAAGGATCCCTGACAATAAATCCGTGTATTCCTTATGTATGAAGTTACTAGTGACTCACCCTCGGTTCATTCTAGTGAAAAATAAAAACAAATCTATCCACGGGAACGGTACATTGTTCCATAAAATGAAGCCTATGTGCTATTCCAGACTATAATCTATCTCTGTGCCAAATTTCATCCAGATCAGTTCAGCCGTTCTGGCGTGATTAAGTAACAAACAAACATCCATCCATCCAAACTTTCGCATTTATAATATTTATTATTATGGAATAATGGGATTTTTTTTGAAGTGAACACTTCTGTAGGCAGGTTCGGATGGGGAGTAAATTCATGTAAGTCGTCATGGACATGGTCACGTGACGTGTTAACGCTAACACTCAGAGTGCCGATAGATGTCAAAACCAGATAAATGTAAACAGTTTTAATTTACAAATTTTAATTTAAGATCAAACAGTTAATTTGAATATGCAAAAAGAACTGTTTGTTATAGTTTTAAGTTTTCACTTTTGTGGCAGTCCTCGTGACTGCTTTTTTAAAATTATAATACAAACATATAATAAACAATTATTAATACTGTTTAAATTAGAATCTCAAATTATGCATTACAAAGTAAAGCTAAAGAAAACCCATTAAATTTCATATTTATTTAAAAAAAATATTCATTAAAATCTATATATTTTTTTTATATAAAAAAATAATTATTAACTTCTAAAATATACTAACGTGACATAATGAGTCATACAATCCGAGAATAAAACCAACATCTGGAACTCCGGCGCAGACGCTTTCGTATTAAGCGCTAAGAGATCCAGGAAAGATTTCAAACCGCTATTTGGTCCCAACGTGCATAGAAATTGCCATAGCGAATGAAGTATTTCATCTTGATTGCAGAGACCTGGAAACAATACATACTAATATTATAAATTATTTGACGACACGTATGGCTCAGTTTGTAGCAACCCTGCTTGATGTGTCAGCGGTCGCTGGTTCGAGTCCCAATGGGGGCATTTATTTGTGTGATGAGCAAGAATGTTTGTACTTCAGTCATGCGTATTTATATTTATAATATGTATGTATTTAAAGTTATATATGTGTAGTGTATCAACTATTTGGTATCCATGAAACAAGCCTCGTAGCTTACCATGGAACTAGATGGTGATGTGTGTTAATGTCCCGAAAAAATGTAAAAATAAATATGTCTATTTGTCTGTTACCATTTCATAGTAAAACTGCTGAAATGATACCGACGAAACGCAATGATATAGCTAGCATCATGGGGACGCAGATAGGCTAACTTTCATAACCGTCCCATTGATCACAAGAGCGACGTCGCGGACAAAAACTAGTATTCAGCATATAAATATCCACTCCTAATTCCTATCTATAGCATAATATGTACATTTTTTTTGCACACACAAACATCGTGATGTAATAAAATGTCACCCAAACGTAAAATAAACTGGGAAAAACTGAAAAAGGTTTTTTTTTCGTTTATATTCCACTAGCGACTCAAGAAAAAAAAAACAAATGTATCCTACGGGAACCGTAGATTTTTTTGGAATAAAAAGTAGCCGATGTGTTATTCCGGACTATAATCTATCTCTGTGCCGAATTTCATCCAGATTCATTCAGCAGTTCTATCGTGATTGAGTAACAAACATCCATCCAAACATCTAAACTTTCACATTTATAATATTAGTAAGATTCCAAATATAACATCATATTTAATAAAAAAAATGTTCTAACAAAATGTTAATATTTATCACTTCTTAGTTTAAACAGAAGATATACCTGTCAATATATCCAGCTTGACTTGTGACATGGTCTGCAACGCCGTGTGGTACATGGAGCATATGAGAGCAACTTTAGTGCAGTCCGGAGATCCTAATTTTCTAAAATTTTTACTGGAATTCGCTCTAAAAACAAAATAAATGAAAAATGTTTATTTAATTTTTATTTTGAAATAGTTTGTTTGTTGTTTTTTACTTTACTTTTTAAACATTTATTAAATATTTTATTTTTTATAGGATAAATACGTAGTAAAGTTTCGGAATAGCTGCTTATACTGTTTATATAGAGTCAGCCTATAAGTGTGGTGTATTATGTAAAAATATTCTATAAGGAATTATATATGAAAGATAAAAAGCACTATATACTATGCAGGCTTCCTACATCATAAATAAATAAATTAAACATAAATATTCTGACAACAATAAATTGTGAATACTTGTATGTGGTATACATGTGAAGACCAATACTTTGTAATAATATATTTATCTAAATGTTGCATATGTATACTGTTGGCATTCCTATTAAAAATCGGCCAAGTGCGAGTCCAATTCGCACACGAAGGGTTCCGTACCATTGTACATGTATTAATATGACTTTTACTTTTGACTTTTGTTTATTAATATGACTTTTACTGTATGCATGTAGTATATTAATTTCAATGACTGATTACGAACGTTAAAAAGTTTCTTGTGTTTTTATTATTTGTTATTATAGTGGCAATAGAAATACATAGTCTGTGAAAATTTCAACTTTCTACCTATTACAGTTCATGAGATACAACCCTCTGACAGACGGACAGCGGTGGCTTAGTAATTGGGTTCCGTTGGCACAATTCAGGTACGGAACCCTAATAAACAAATAGATCCTACCGTCTTCAACTTGTCAATATTTTTGACCAACTTCAAACACACGGGGTACAATTCAACTGTATCTTTTACTAAAATACCACGGGTACTGTTACATTAAGATAAAGTTCTAATCTCACCTATTAGTTCTGGCCTCGATAGCACGTCTAATGAACGAGGCGGGATTATTGCTCTGCACAGGAGTCGAAGGTTGAGAGGGTCCCGCTCCCTCTTCTCCAGAAATTCCCGCATCTAACATTTCCTTTAAAGGATTCCCCAATAACTTCTTCAATAACTGCACTCCCCATAACAAAGATAGCTGTGTCCTCAAATTCCCCATGGCCGGGGGTAAATAGGCGTCAAAACTTTGGGAAAACCAGCCCAGTACGGGATGCCAGTTGCTTAAGTTCCCCTTCTTACATACTACGTATTGCTGACAGCTGTCCAAAAAGCGGGTTACGACGAGCTGTGAAATGATGACAGATTATTATTTAAAAGACAATTTAAGAAATTTCTAATATGTATATAAAAATCGACGTGTGTACGTATGTTCCCTATGAACTCCAAAACGGATGAAGCGATTTTGATGAAATTTTCAGGCAATGTTTAGTTAGCCTAGCGAGTGATATTGTGAAATTTGGTAGCGATAGAATCAACAGAAGGGTTTATAGTCGTTTGAACACGGGCAGAGCCGCGGGTAATGCTAGTAAGATATAAGTTATCTGCTTTTATGACCATTAACTACTCTATAATATCAAATAATCGTCTGTTTATAAGCGCTCATCGGTTTGAGAAATGTAAATTGATGATGCTTCTGAATTTAGTTCATTTTAAAATGATTTAGAAATAAATAAAAGGTTATAGAATCAGCTATTTTACAAAACATTCACTATTTTAGAAAATTCTGTTATATAAAACACGCGTCGTTATTAAAATTGCCTTACGATAAATTCAGACTTGATGATAGGATAGATCTAAATGGCGGTTACCAATAACCTATGGTACCTCGTATCTATCTGTTGGTTTCCTTACATTGACATTTGACATATTTTGTATGGAACTTATGACAAGTTTTTATCTCTAGTAAGGAAAATTGCAGATAGATAGTTTATTGGGAACTACCGTAAGACATTTTCTTTAGTCTTTCTTTCTTACACCCAGAAACTTACTACCCACAGTTCTGTACTTTACAATCTAAAGTTATACAATTCGCCTTCGTCAACAGTAAGTGCTTACAAATAGAAAGTGCCGTTTACATTATGATGAGTCATACAACATGCCTGCGACATCCATAGAATAATACATATTCTAAATGTGAAAGTGTTTTTGTTTGTTTGTCACTCTTTCACGTCGTAACAGAGTGACTGATTGGCGTGTTTTTTTGTATGGAAATAGTTGGACGGCTGGAGAGTGACATAGGCTACTTTCTTACATTATCTCATTCCCATGGGAAAACACGTTATAATATTACTTACAAAAACTTATTAAACTTATGTATCTATATATAATATATAGTATATCTATTCCATACTAATCGTTAAAACGTACCTAATTCCAAACAAACGTGGGTGAGTCGCTACTCGTTAGTCTATATAATATTATACTCGTATATAAGTAATTAAATACCAAGACAATGTTTGTTTATAATAACTTACCACAAAAGTAGGGTAATATGTACCCGGGTTAGCATGATCCCTCTCAGAATAAGCCAGTTGTATCAAATTTGCTAGAAGACATAAAGCATAGTTGCCTTCCAGTGTATTGAATACAATACGCATATTCTGGTCTGCGCTAAGGAACTCGATGCATTTGTCGAACATTGCGTGAGATCTGAAGGCTGCTATTGACTGTGAACATAATATTTTACATATAGACCAGAAATGGATGAAGTGATACTCTATAAAAGCAAGAAACAAAAAAAAACCGGAGTGACAAAATCAAGTGCGAGTCTAACTCATAGTGACTCACACCGACGGCCCCATAGCATTAAACATTAAAATAAGTTTATAATCACAAAAAAAATATTGTTCTTGTGATGTTTATGAACAAATTTACGATTTTTCTTTTTACTTGCAATTAGACATTTGCTGCTTACCAAATGTTATGATTGAAGGTCAACGGGAAGTATATATTATACCCTATAAGGTTTTATTCCCTTGCGAGAGTCTAAATATGCGATATGAATGGCCGTATCTTTAAGACAGACATACGGACAACGAAGTGATTCTATAAGGGTTCCTTTATTCCTTTTGAATTACGGAACCCTAATAAATAAATAAATAATAGTATTGTAATATACATATTTTATTATATTTTGTGGTTGATGAGGCGCACCCGACTGTCATACTAACTTTTATATGAAAGTCGGTAAACAGCTTTAGGGTTGACAGGTATAAGTGTAACTCGCCACGAATTTACACTTTAATGCTTTGACTTCAAAACTGTTTGTCATGAAAAGTGGTATTTTTTGATAACCCTTGTATTTGATAGCAATTCCGTTAAAATCAATAGATAAACGCTTACTATATTTTTATACAGTTATAGTATTGTATAAATAAAAATTATTATTATATATTTTTATACAGTTATAGTATTGTATAAATAAAAATTATTATAATGTGTAGTCCACACTAAAGCACAAGAAAAATCATATCATTCAATTTAAACAGTAATAATTTTCTCTCATACTTTAACAAACCTAATACCTTAATAAATGAAAATAGATGGATCTATTTGTCTATTTGAATTTCCAACAGTTGTATGAAATAAACATATATCTAGAACATGCCTTACATCCAAATAAATTAAATATATAATACTAATTATAGAAGAACACATCATTCTTAACTATAATAATAACAGTGTGTAATTTACTTGAATTAAATTTAATAATAAGTACTTAATTTAAAGACGATAACTATTTTTTATATGTAGGAACATAATTTACAATCTACACAGATAAATAAAAATGAAGTGTCTGTACGTAATGTCGAAATAATCGCTTTTTAGTACATGCATTTGAAAGCATATAATATGGTACTAATAGGAAAAAAAAACAATTTTAAAATTTTTGTCTGCCTGTCTTATTTATTCCACCTAATCTCCGAAACGGCTGGACCGATTTTAACCGGACTTTCACTGGTAGATAGCTGATGTTATAAGGAGTAATTAGGCTATTTTTATTTTAGAAAACAAAAATTGGGTTTCGTTCAAAAAAATTAAAACGTACTTAAGAACGAAACCGAGCGAAACGAGGGTAAGTTGTAACTAATAAATGAATAAGAAACTTACCTCAGGTGATATTTGTTGCATGTGGAAGACAAGTGTGGGCACAGATAATATCTGTATAATGTACATTGTTAGTAGCTTCTCGGAGAACTGAGCTGATACAAGTGGACGTAAAGCCAGCGTCACTATTGCTGTTAATGATATATTCTTAAGGCTCACTTTCTCACGGCAAAGCCCACGAAGGAGAAGAGACTACAAAAATAATAAATTTATATTTTTTTTAAATACATCAAACTGACATTAGCTGACAAATAGTTAATATGGAAACATTTTAGGACTGAAATGTAAGATATTTTAAGTGTCGTCTATCTATACATATAATAAAATTGTAACTAAGCCAAATCTGTACATTAAATCTTATTTGGATAATCTTATTGAAATAGACATTATTATTAATACAGAGGCCGAATCTATAGCTTTTAGAATTTTTGTCAGTCTGTCTGTGTGTCTGTGACCAAATTACTGAAAAACTACTGTAGGGATTTTGATATTTGCTATGATGAACATATAGGAGACCTTTTACTGCGGGAAAATATCTAGTCTCTGATAAATCCATACTAAATATAAAAACATAGGTAGGGACGAATCCGAGTGGAGCGAGATGAGTCGACAGTATTGCCATAAATCTGAGTAAGTGTTGCTTTAAGCCAATAAAATATCACACATGATAAAAAAAGATGTGAAGTTTTTATAACTATATTTATTGAGTTTTCAAGTCAATCTGAGTAAATTTGCTAAATAAGTTATGTATGTAGAATCAATACAGTAAGTAAATATTACCTTTAGAGTTAAGTAATAGCCTCTGTGAAAAAGTGATCCCATAACATTAGCACACAATTGTGTCATTCCACCTCTGAGTTTCTCAAAGTTTTTTAGCCGAGTCAATGCCCAAGTGTTTGTAGCTGTGAATGCTAATAATGTGTGTAAGTGTATTAGAATACTCTGCATGTCTATTGGTGATTCAGGTTTTAACTCCTCGAGGTACTGGCAGCATTTGTACAGTAAATCCTTTATATGAGAGATCCATCTTAAACTACAAAATATATTTTTAAGTCAATATTTAATTCAATTTTCTTATTAATATCAGTTGAGCACAGATTACTTTGTCAATGTCATGAGAATGGACACTCAAGACACAAGGCAGATTCACTCCAAGAAGTCAGAAATCAAAAGAATTGAATTGAATCACAAGGCAGATTGATCATTGGTAATTTGACATTTAAAAATCATCTTGTATAGATGATTTTAGTATTATGATTATAATAAAATTCTAACTGAGTCGAATCTGTATATTAAAATTTTTTTGGAAAATTTTATTGAAATAGTCATTATTATCGATACAGAGTCTGAATCTATAGTTTTTAGAATTTTTGTCTATCTGTCTGTATGTCTGTTACCGCATCATGGAAAAACCACTGGTGGGATTTTGATGAAATTTGGTATGATAATAGCTGGTTATTCGGGTCAACAATAGGATACTTTTTACTGCGGGAAAATATCTCTTCTCTGAGAAATCTATACTAAACATTAAAAAGTAAGCAGAGACAAACCCGAGCGGAGCGAGGGTGAGTCGCTAGTATGAGATAAAGTTGATTATAACAGAGTATAAATGCAAAGTGACATTAGCAAAGTAATCTGTGCTTAACTGGCACACTTTTAAGATAATTGTATTGAAAAGAGTATAAAAAGTAAATCTTAAGTAAATAAACAGAGTTTCACTTTTGTAAAAATTCCAGAAAGCAATTTTATACCTGTACTCTTTATTAAGGAACACTCCAACATATGATATCTTAACTGATTCAGAGTGTAGGCTCTGTACAATATATTTGCAGAGTTTCTCAAATCTCTTTTTATCTCTCTGTTTCTTAAATACAAGGAAGAGTTGACAAGCAACTTTGTAAACATCCAAGGCTTGAATAAGCTCAGGATGTTGTGGTTCATCATGTGAACCCTGGCTGGTGGACTCTGGGAGAAGTTGGTCAAACTCATTTCTGAAAATATATAGATTTTATAAATTAACTAATAAATATAATATTCAATTATAGAATTTAAAACTTAAAAATCAAACGTTAATCGAAGTAAGTATATTTTTGTTGAAACATATTTAAATTCTAATAAGATACAACTATTGTGATATAAAAATGGGATTTATAGGAATTTTATCACCTATGATTAAAATGCTTTAATTAATAATTTATAAATGTGTGTATTCTCGTCTTACAGAATAATCTTGATGAATCTCTGTCGTGCGAGCCAACCACGAACGATTGCTTGTATTTTAATCGCTGATTGTTCTCTTTTTTTTTCTAGAGCACGTTCTTCTCTTGCTGCTTTAGTCTGTTCTAAGAATGTATCTTTACTCGTTAATGATTTGGAAAACATTTTAAATCGTTGTATTGCACACAAGATACAGCTTTGTTTTCTTTTTAGTTGAATAGCTGTCAAGATAAGAAGGCATCGAAATACATGATAGAATTCACAATTATTATCCCGGTAACAGAATCATGTTGGTTGTGTAGATATTTCTAATAACGCTTTATAGCACTAGTTTTCAAGCACATATCCGAAAAAATATATTTCTCTATATTTTTTTTGGTTTTGTAAGCTTTATCAAAGAACTGGTCACTGGAGGATTGAGATTTCGTTTGACACCTCTTTTACGTTGCCATGTCAAAGTACTTTAATATTAGTACTTAGTAGTATTGCCATTTATGGTATGATTACTTTAAATTATAAAAAATGTTTTGACATAAAATTCATATGGTAATATATTATTCAACCATTTTGTACTGTAAAACTTATTTTTATTATTGTCAACATTATTGTTGAGTACTTCACTAGTAAAGTGGCGGCAGCACTAGTCTATCAAACTTGACAGACAGGGACTCACAAGTTACAACTTTTATTTGTTATCCATTGTTAGGCATATAGGGTTCGATTCCCGGTGCGGGACAAAAATTAGCTACTGGGTTTTCTGTCAACACGTCTTGTCGTACTCTTGTGTCGACAGACTTCATTAGACTGTCCTTAAACTTAATGAGATAGAAAGCAGTACCTACTACCATTGCATTTATTCATTATAGTAGCTGCAAAGTCTTCGATAATACATTTATAATACAACCTGCTAAGGGTTGTAATATAAACTCATTTACAATATTGTAAATACTAAATAGTACCTTATAATAATAACAGGTACATCGCAGATGGTTGATATCAAGTAAGTATAAAAGCATGTGAGCAATGATTATATAATAAAAAATGCCTATCTAGTTTTAGGTCTATAGATAATAATAAATATTTTTAAAAGTATTTTCATTATTCTATTTTAGTCTTAATTTGATTTTATATTTTATCATGTAATCATTCATCGCGTTCCTATCTACAATTATTAATACTTAAATGGCAAACCAGCCAACTCCACATTTCGTCAAAAAATATTTTTTGTTTTAGATTGTAAGAAAAAATAATTCAGTAGGATTTTACAGTATCAAAAATAACAACTTACGATATTATTCACCAACGGTATTTTAGATGTTTTAATAAGAAGTGTACATATAATATTATAAAATTTTAAGTTAAAGTTTAAGTTTTTGTCTCCTGAAAAATTTGCTCATATAGAGTTAGCTGGTTTGCCAATTAAGGTATTGATATGTGTCCCCCCCAACGTGCGTTCACCTTGTCGTGGTGGGGGGCTCAGTAGTGCCCGGCAATACAGCCGAGCGTGAAGCCAAGAAACGCACAGGGAGGCCCGCTTCGGTGGGCGGTGGGAGGTGGCCCTCTTCGAGGGCGGTGTACCATGCGGGTTGCTCCTGGTACTTCTCTGATAGCAGAGTGGACCTTGGAGCAACCCCATGGTTGTGGTGGGCTGCTTCGGCAGACCTGCCGTCGGGGCGTAGTAGTTGAATGCGTAAACGATCCTGCGACGCCCCATTAAGACGGGGGAAGGTTTTGTTGGGTTTTAGTGGGTAGTACTGGTTTTGCCGGTGAGTCCCACACCTCGTGCGTAAATGCATTTCCCAACGTTAAAAAAAACGTATTGATATGTGTGAGTTAGGTAGTACTTGATAGGTGGCGTTAATATACCGTGCAAAACATCAAAATTATACCCCGTAAAATCTAACTTCTATTAATATATGATTTATCTATGGAATAAGTCCACGATTCATTACGTTAAGTCATATCGATAAATATGTAAAAATGGACAGATGCCAATGCCTACCTATGATCTACCTAACTCCGTAGCGTTGATAGATTCTGGTTTAAAGAATTTGACTATAGGTATGGGTTGCGTGAGAATGCATAAAGTCGGGTTCGGGCAAACGTAGTCTATGCCCAAGATTTCTAAAGACTGTTCAGACTATGCTATACAGTTACATCATAAGTAGCGTTATTTCAACCTCCTACTTTGTCCTTAATACGTTATTTGAATCTTACATAACTGCTTAAAACGACATGAAATATCGCAAGAATAATAAGTTTTAAATTCCGAAATAAAATTTAAACCAATAAATCAAGTTACATTTAACATTAACATCAGCTTCTTAGAGGAATGACGAAAGTAAAAAAAAAACATCTAAGTACATACAATATTTTAATATTAAAGGAGTCTTTAGTAATTTATTAAAAAAAATATGAATAAGTACAATATCTATACAATAATTTACGAATCTCTAGCCATAACGACAATTTTGTGTTTTTAAATTTAATTAATAACACCGGCAGGTACCTACTTGTATATATGCTTAAATACAATATTGTTAAAATTATTTCTCAATTGTAAATATGTCTCATTAACAAAGTAATTGGTAAGTTGGAACATGTTTTATATTTTGAAATTTTATCAAAAAATCAAGGCTAAATTCAGCAGTAAACTTAATTATTTATTTATACATGCAAGTAAAGTGAAGAAAAATTGTACCAAAGTGGGTATTTAATTAGTTGCACTAATTACAAAAGCATATTTCACATAAACAAAATAATTCGAACCAAAATATTTTCTCGAGAGCCTCGAGTTTTTTTTATTTAAGTATTCAACGCTCGAATATATATATATATATATATATATATATATATATATATATATATACATACAGTACTATTGTAGATCATAGATATAGATAGAAGGCACATGGCATAATAATAATTATTAAAATCGTTTTAATATTTCGATAAGTGCTAAAAAAATGGACAATAGCTATATCCCTAGGTTGATTCCCCATACAAACTTTTATATATATATATATATATATATATATATATATATATATATATATATACAGTAGTATTGTCGATCAGTAGAAGGCACATAGCATAATGATAATTATTAAAATCGTTTTAATATTTCGATAAGTGCTAAAAAAATGGACAATAGCTATATCCCTAGGTTGATTCCCCATACAAACTTTTATCCCCACTTTCACCCCGTTAAGAGATGATTTCCGGGCTAAAAAGTATTTTATGTCCTGCCCAGGGTCTCAAACTATCTTCTTACCAAATTTCATCAATATCGATTCAGTGGATCCAGAGATTACCCCCTAAAACGTCACAAACTCACAAACTTTACCTCTTTATAATATTAAGTATATTATCGAAAAGTTTAATCAATTAAAAATAGGCTACCATGACGTAGTAAAATAAGAGTTACACATAAGAGGACTATCTATTTATATAATCACAATTTATATGAAATAGGTATTAAGTTCCGTAGGCTGCAGATTCTAATATAGAAGTATACGTTTAGGTATCGCGCATTACATAATATCTCGATAGATAGTATCGAAAATTAAGAATAAATGAATTTAGGACTACTATAATTAACCTACTGTAAAATGTGTTTGTATGTTTGTTACTCATTCACGCTTGACGGATCTGAATGAAATGATATAAAGATAAACTATATACCATAGGTCTGGAGTAACACGTAACGTACTGTTAGGCACGTAGAGATACCCCTAGCGAAGCAAGAGTAAGTTGTCTTCTTAGAAAACTATTTAATTAGAATTAAGCATTAGCAAAATGTATTTTAATATTTTAATTATAATAGTTGATAGGGACGAAGATACTGTTCATTTTAAAAAATAGATATAGTAGATAAATGCTTTAAGTCAAAAGTATTCTAAGCCAGACTAATTTTTGTATCACTCCCCACACAGACTCTAAGATAAAGTTATAAAATAGCTAATGAACTCTACCAGAGTACCAAGTACTATATATCGTTGCTCCATGTCTCTTTGCTTTTTGTGCTTTATCATTTGAAAGATTATTATCGATAACATCGGCCATTATCAGCCATCAAAAATGTTGTTTCGAATTTCGAGACGGAAAACAACTCCAATGCGAACTTGAACTGACTAATTAGTTTTTTGTGTTGCTCCCAATATAGAAAGTAATTACGTAATTGTGTTGTAGAAAGAAATTTGGTACGTCTACGTTAAAGGCGAGTATCTGTCCTTAAGCTTTTACGTTCGATAAATAGTTTTCAATGTTTTACTAATTACAAGCTAATTATCACGAATTAAATAGCTAATTTAGATGACGTGAAGATGGACATATAAAGAGAATGGATACTGGCTATTATTTGACAGTTAATAGTCTTCGAGTGAATAGCTTTAATTCATTTGAAGTATTTTTTCAACAAACTAGTTTTATAATAACATTGTTTTGTTTATTAGGTTGTATTTTTAGAATATATTATTCCTTATACACACTGTCATCCCCATTATCAATCGCTTAAGGGATGATTTCCGGGATAAAACTATCCTAGTCCTTCCCAGGGTCTCAAACTATCTGCTTACCAAATTTCATCTATATCGGTTCAGTAGTTCCAGAGATTACTTCATTATAATATTAGTATAGATTTATAATATTAGTATACGAGATGAAGTATATTCAAATAATGATTACATATAAGATCGAGTTATATTGCGACTGTTTTTAATTGACACTCGAGTTATTTAGAGAGTTTAAAAAAATATCTTCTTTGTGCTGGAGGTAGCGGATTCGAATCTATAAATGTTTATTGCGTTTTGACTGTACTTTTTTGACTCCAGTCAGTATTACGCGTATATTATAAATAGATAAAGGTATTTATTATCTGTGTCGATACAAGTGGAGACAAGAAGCAGTCACTTTATAATTTTACACTTAGACCCTGAAAAAAAAATGGTTTTATGCTTGAATTCTGCTTACAATCTCTTTAGAGATAACTAGGCTGATTAAGTTGAAAGGTCTTGATGACCATATCAGAAGGAACACGTCTTTATATATAAAGGCATTTCAGCTATGTGTTAATCTGCGTCGTAATTAATGTAATAATGCTAAGATGAGTTGACGAAACGGTTTTAATTATCATCCATAATAGCTTAGAAGCTACATTATAATGATGGGTGCTGCTGATTGAAACGTGTCTTTGTTTTCTTTACACAAATTTAAATTAGTGGAGTAACTCTGATTTTGCTCTATTAGTTAATTCAAAATATCCAATTTTCACGCAATATTTCTATTATAAAGATTAATGTTTTATAAGAAATTTAGTGAGGATTGTAGGTACTTACACTACTATATACACAATGTACAAACTGACAGATAGAAGTAACGTGCTTATTTAATATTAGCGACTCACCTTCGCTTCGCTCGGGTTTGTTCCTAGTTAAATTTGAACGGTTACCTAGTAGGCAATAGAGAGACTATATATTAGTATAGACATAGGTATGATGAGTTTTATATCTCTTACTCGAGATTGGTTCCCCATACAAACTTTTATCCCCCTTTTTACCCCTTTAAGGGGTGAATTTCGGGATAAATACTATCGTATGTACTTCCCAGGGTCTCAAACTATCTTCATTCCAAATTTCATCTAAATCGGTTTCGCGGATTTTTAGTTTATCCATTACAACAAACTCACAAACTTTACCTTTTTATAATATTAAGTGTAGAAAATATTCTCAATAGCTCAAAATTATTAGTGACACACATTATCTAAAGAATGCCTTTAACTCATTAAGTAGGCATGTCAAAACTTCGCAAAGTTCACATCCGGTGATTAAGGTCAGTGATTAAGCGAACACAAAAGCTGATAAGCCATTTTTGATTACATGCAAGGAATTGATAAGAATATCTATCTACCTATAGAAAAGTCTACATCCATAGAATGATATGGATGTTTTAGTCACCTCCTCTGGGAATTTTTGTTATTTAACAAAACCTATAAATTATCGAGAATATATTAAGCAAATAATATGTACTTATTTGTATTTTTATATTTGCCTTGTCTAATGTCTCCATATTAGATGTGTCATTCAGGTATCATACTTATGAAGTAAACGAGAATAAGGTAAACGAAAAATAATAATATAATCGATGATCGGTATGAGCTGCGGGCGGAAATTAAGCCACGGGGAAGCCCTGAGGTATTTTTACAGTATAACAAGGGTCGAGGGCGGATCACTTGCTAGTTACCTATAGTTACCTACATATAATATACCATAAAACAAAATAACACTAAGATCTTTTAACTAGCGGCTCACACTCGCTCCGCTCAGGTTCGTCCCTAGGTACGTTTTAATGGTTAGTATAGATTTTTCAGAGATGAGACATTTTCTTGCAGTAAAAAGTATCCTATATGTTGACCTGAATAACCAGATATCATCATACCAAATTTCATCAAAATCTGTCCAGTGCATTTGTCCTTATGGCGGTTACAGACAGGCAGACAGGCCGACAGACAGACAAAAATTCTTAAAACTATAAATTCGGCCTCCGTATCGATTATGATGACTATTTCAATAAGATTTTCTAAAAATTATTTAATGTACAGACTCGACTCAGAATTTTATTATATGTATAAAAGATAAAGCAGCATGCATAACTAAACGTAATGCCCCATTTTAATAATTTAAAAAGAAAAATTGTAATTTCGCAATTATATAAAAACGGTATTCATGACACCATTATATAAGAACAAGGACTCTTCGGTAAGTTGTACATACATCTTTTAATGAGTCATAAACGGGCTTTTCAGATATGGTAAACATAAAAGATGCCTATTTGCGTGTTGTGAGAAAGTCGTGAGATTAAAAGAAAGGCTTTAACATTTGTTTTTGTGACTAAGTATTATGGTATCTTATGAGATTGTCGGCAGTATAAAGATTTTTCTTATATAGCTTATAAGTAGATTATGTACTTAAGTAGGTATATAAAGAACTTCTCAAAAATGTTTTAAGTGCACATTAATATGAAATAAAGGTAACGCTAGCTGATAAATTTATAAGTGGACACGTTCTTCAAACCTCATGTTGCACTTACTATTTTATGTACTAATTCAACACATATATTTTATAGTTTGAAATATTTGTATTTAAGAGATAATGTAATATATGTACCTATATTATATGTTTTAAATATAATATATATATATATATATCTATTTAAATTATAATTATTTAACATTTCTTTTTTTTAAGTAAATTTATAAAAGAGTCATAGCTATATCAATACAACTATTATATATATTTATTTCGAGTAGGTACGTGGCACCATGACTAGATGCTCAAATCTATAAAAAAATTTAGAAACGGAAAAGATTGTTTGTTTTTTTCTTTATTAGAACGCTCAAATCGCTGAAACTACCGAATACCTGTTTTAGGCTATTTTACATCACGCTACATTTAGAAGCGAAGTTAAAACTTATAAATAAACTCCGCAGAGCTTTGGGCTAAAACAAAACTATCTACATATGTCTAGGTATATTAAATAGCCTAAGAATCCTTTTCGTTAATAATAATTGACCATTGTCCATAAGTAAATTAAATACTCTTCTTATATGCATTTAAAATTTTCAAAATCAGAGAACTTTCAATTTGCATTTCATTTTAATTTAATGAACTCTTATATAATTAATATTTATAAAGTCGTTTCAGGTTAACAAGATTCCACAGTTAAAGAAAGTCACATGAAATGTTGTCAAGCAGTGGGTAGGTATGCGTCGTGGGAAATGTTTCTTACTTAGCGCGACCATAAGGGAATGGAATGGAGCAGACGGTACACGTTGTTAGAAAAATCTCAGAATTAAGTAATTAATTCGATACTTTGATACCTTAACAAAATCTTCGTGAATTTTTCAAATATTTCTAATGTTTTATCGCAGCAAAACTACCTATACTTATATCAAAATTAGATAGTTTAAAGATAAGAGCTCGTAGCTGTTATTGCGTAACTACCTTAATAAATAATAATAAAAATTTTGTTTCATTTTATTTTGCCATAGGTAGGTACTAAATTTAATTTTAAAACCGCCAGCCAAAATTAGGATATTTATAAGCGTGTCGAAGAAACCAGGTCTTCGTGATAGCAGTGCTTCGTTTTTTACTAACTAGGTCTACAGATGAATTATATAATAGAAATAACTCGTTTAGGAAGTGTTATATACACGAGAAACATATATCGAGTATTTATTTAATAAAAGCTCAATAGGTATAATATATGGTTTAGATTTTTGCGTCAAAATCCTAAAGTATCAAAATAACACCTGAATTTAAAGCAGATTATAAAAGCTAATTATGTATAATGTTTGAACCATGCTGATACACGTTCATTCATAACATACATTAACAATAGAACATCGATATGCGCCCACGCCGAAATTCTCGGCTGATCACCTGCCAAAAATGAAGGCGGGCGGAAAGCTCGAAGTAAGCACGAAGGCTTCGACGCTAAGCGCCATTAGTTCAACATCGACCAATGAAAGGTAAGGGGCGTGACTATGCGCACGCGCCGCCCGGACGTTCTCGCCGTGTCAGTGTAAACGCAGCTCTCGTAGCACCAGCACGCGTTTGTATTCCTTAAAATTTGTCTATTTTGCCCATAACATTATTGTTGTCGCGATTTTATTGCTATATTTTGAACTGTTCAGTGATTATTTACATTAGAATGTTCTAGTGAAGTGACAGTACGAGTGACATTGTTATTTTTATAGTACTAATAAACATGATGATGGATCAAGCACATTTTGGAGAATATCTGCTCAGGCAACAAATGTTGCATGCCGCATCTTTAAGTAGTTTACGTGAGTATCTTATTGTTGATTAAGAGAAGGTACGGAATAGGCTATTTTTACGACCAATAATTTGGTCGTTTACAGTTGAGAAAAAAATTGCAAAATATCATTCTGCTCTTTTATTCTATGTTAAATTTTATTTTCAATTTTTACAATTTATATACATGGACAAATTATAACTAGCATGCGATATTGATAATCTAATATGTAAGATCCAATTTTAATTATCTTTAATAAGTTTGAATTCAAAAACAATGTATTAGAAAAAACCTATCTACCCCCAATGGGTTTAGAAATTGGTGAAATAAAATATGATGTTGTAAACAAACATTTTAGTACAATTTTATAGTGATAATGGCAAAACTAGAAATTGTGGGTATTTAATTTTTTTTTTCATTACTTCAGTTGGATAATAATAAATTGAATCAAAATTAAACCAAACATTGTTTCAAACAGAAGCAATTACTTATAAATCTTATATCATATTACATGCTGTTCATATAAACTTTATCTACTCGTATAATTTACAGCGGTGCAGTAGTCAGACCATGCGCGTTGATGTCTTTTATTAGGACATAAATGATAAATCATTTTGTAATACATTACAATTACGTACTTTATCAATATTTTGGAGATATGTAAGATTATATTATTTTTCAGATAATTATTAATCCAATTAAAGCTTTTTTTTATATATACATATAATAATTTGAAAATGTGATTACATATTTCTTTTTCTTGTTTATTATTTTAGTATTTATTGACAATTATCTGAACTATAAATATTAACCAATATTTGATCAAATATCTAATTATATCAATAATGTACTTTATGTTTTAACATAGGTACAACAACCTAACACAATGTAATAAACAGTTTGAATTTATCGATACTTAAATCTCGTTATTTATGAGCTTTTAAGAACGTGCCACACTTATTAAGCTTTAAGAATATATTTAATTTATCGAATACGATTTTTTATATAGATATAGTGTTATAAGATTATATATTTAGTCCATACAGCTATTAGTAATAATTATATATGTATGTAGAATTTATTTTTGCGTCGATATGAAAACAAAACGTTTTCTATATTCGTTTAATTGTATTCTGTCCTTTTTAACGTCCACTCCTGGCCTCCCTTCAATACATGAAAATATCAGAGGTGTGAGACCCGGGATTTGAACCCGCTTCACTCTGTTTCCCAGGCGAGCAAGTTACCACTGCCTTTATCCGTTTAATACTATTTAATATTTATTTTATCGCTCGGGTTCGTCCCTAGGTACGTTTAATTTTTTTTGAGCGGAACCCTAATTGTTTTTCTTCTTCGAAAATAAAAGTTGCCTATATTACTCCCTATAACATCAGCTATCTTCCAGTGAGAGTCCCGTCAAAATCAGTCCAGCCGTTTCAGAGATTATCCGGAACAAACAGACAGACAGACAAAAATTTCAAAAATTGTGTTTTTCTTATAAGTACCGTATATAATTTCATATGCATTTAGTAAAACGCTGTTATTTTGACATTAGAAACAGACACTTCAATTTTATTTATCTGTATAGTTGTATAGATTAACAAATCTTTCTTTAAATTTTAACTACCTTCAATTGATGTATTAAGCTTTGAAATGCTTCATATTATATATTCACAAATAATTTGTATTTTTGTGATAACGTAATAAAAATATTGGTAAGAATGTCCTATCCGTCGGTGTAAGGACTCTACAGAATAAAAAAAAAAATAATGAGTGCGTGGATCAATGTGTACTTAAGAAGTGAAACTTCTGTAGGTTATCGGTACTTTTTATGAAATTCAATGTATATGTTGTAATTAATTAGGATAGGAGAGAATACTAAAAAAAAATTTTTTATCGATTTAAAAACGAAAGTTCTCTTTAACTGTCACAAATTGTGTTTAGGTAATTATTCTAATTAAAATAAATATACAACAATGTAAATTGAATCTTAAATGTAATACTTAAAATTGTTTACACGAAAAATAAAAAAAGCGCGCTCAAATGTTTAAATGAGTGCTCATTCAGTGAGGATATTTTTTGTCGCTGATTGTGTATTTAGTACATTTTTGATCGATGTATACCCTCTTCAAAACTTATGATCGTCTGGTACTTTTGGCCGAGTACTAGGGCCCCGTCAAAGAGTGCATCTTTAATGATTATGATTACATCGCTAACTTAAAAATATATATTTTTTAAATAATTTTTTTATTTTTTTATTATAAAATTCTTTGAAATAGCGATATAATAGTTTAAAATTTAAATATTTTTAATTGACTATTTATTGACTACCGTAACAACCGTTTCCGTTACAAAAATCGTAACGCCAATACTTTTTTTGCCTCTCGTGACGCGCCTAAAGAAGTTTCACTTCAAAATATTATTCTTAGTAAATAGTCCACTTCAGTAAGAAACGATTCAAAGCTAAACTACGCAATAAAATTTTCTCGTATCTTATTTTAACTAAATAGCGATATAAAATGGTAATAAAGGAAATCTATTAGAATAATTATATAACTAACTACATAGCAAATAACAGAAATTTACTAAGAAATAAAACATCAAATAAGGAGGTTTTATCAACAAATGAAATTGCTAACTAAAGGGACCACAGACGGAGTCCATATTAATAACTAGATTATTTAAAACGTTACAAGATATACTATTAAATAGTAATGCTCGTGTTATACGCCGTAGATTAAAATTATTTTATTGCTGCCTACGGATACTTGATGAAACTCGATGCGATCAAAGGCACCGCTTGATTGCAATTACTTATAGGTACATGGTTAGATATGAAATTCATTTATTCTATTTTATATCTTAAGTACTAAAGTTAAAGAACTATTTTAGATTTTGATTATAGTGTTTATTTACTACAGTATGCCACTAGGCTATTTGTTTTTTTTATATTTTACCCTTAATGGTAAATAATACAAAGTAAGACATGTTCTAGTATCACTATAGATATGTTGATTTATTAATAATGCTTATAGCTGTAACAAAAGCTTCAACATATAAGTTTTTGTACAAAAGCGAATATATGTAAAAAAAAAAATTTTATATAAGTAACCCATTCCGAAATTAATAATATAATATATTTTTGATATACATATTAAGTATATGAAAAATATGCTTGACAAAAAATGCTTGTCAGGTGCATCTCGAATGTATTTTATTCCTTTATCTTTTATTGTTTAATTATTTAAATGAAATATAAAATATTTATAATTTAAGCGCCACGATAACAGCATTCACATTTATTATTTTTTGTGTGTTAATCCAGTGCAAGTTTTGTAAGATTTAACAGGTTTTGCCACTATGTTTGCTGTAATAAATATACACACGCAGCTATTTTAAAACATATACCTACATAGGTATATGTACGAGTATATCTCCGACTACGTAATGCTATGTTTCTTCGTTAACTTGTTCTCTTCTTTTTAGTTAACTTTTTACGAAGTCAGGGTTTTTTATTTATTTTTATAACAGCTTTTTAGTTATGATCAATTAATTAATTTTTTTATTTATTTAATTTTATTTAATTTTATTTAATCATTTTTGGTTTTATTTAATAATTTCTTAACCTAAATTACTTTTGTAATCGCCTTTTAAAGACCTATCTTTTGATACCCCACTCAATCGATTCAGACAAAAAAAATTTTTTTAAGATACTCAAATTGGCGCCTACAATCCGCCATTTTGATTTTTTTGACATTTGCGTAAACAAGACAAATTGAATGACGTATGAAACATCAAGATCGGTTAAGCCATTTAGTAATTTCGAGGGAACATACATACAGGTCAAACACAAAATCCTCCTTTGGGCATTGCCGCAGTCGGGTAAAAATGTATTACTTTGCTTAGATTTAGATAGAGATTATGTTGCAAAAACTGGGTTAATATATACCTGTGATGATTTTTTTTGTAATTAATATCAAATACTACTACACACTTAAGTATCTTTGTTTGGCTCGAGCGAGTTTCTAGGTGCCTAACAGGAGCCTATGTGCTACTCCAGTCCATCTGTGTCCCCACTAAATTTCATCCAAATCCGTTCAGCTGTTCCGGCATTTAGAAGTAACAAACTATATAATAATAGCCCAATTACAAAAACTAATCAAATACTTATTCATTTCCAGAGCATCGAGTAGGCGCGGACGCTGAGCCTCCCGCGTGTGAGGCGCGGCTGCTTAACGGCGAACTGTGGCGACGCTTCCACGATATCGGCACTGAAATGATCATCACTAAGGGTGGAAGGTAAGTTTAAACTATTATACATAGAATTTGCCTTAAAACTATGATCTAAAAAAGAAAAGATAAACATAAAAAGTACATAAAAACTTAAATAAACACTGTGTAATGTAGCAGTAACATGGTAATGACCATAATATTATTATGATATATATTATTATGATTAGATGATATAATAATTTTTGTCATTTCAATTAAATTTTTACTTAATACTTTCTTAGATTTACGCGAATATTTTATATACAGCAATCATGATCACGGGAGAGACTAAGGTTTAAGATGTCCCAAAAGAATTATATAGTTGTAACAGACAGCCTACCCAAAACTAAACTAAAATGAATTCAAAAACGTCGGAAACTAAAAATCGAAATAAATTCGCGAAAAAATCCGAAGAGATAGTTTTATTTAAATTTATACTATTTTTTAACGATCGTAGAATGAAATATTGTGTAAACCAAAAGATTTGATACCATATTATAACGAATTTATATGGATTGCCCGTGGCTCCGCCCGCGTTCAGATGACCAAAAACCAAATTCTTAGGTTTTACATAGTATACTCTTACAGTGCAGTTTTTGTAAAATGAGATATTTTCCCGCGGTAGAAAGTATCTTATATGTTGACCCGGATAGCCAGCTATCATCATACCAAATTTCATCAAAATCTGTCCAGTGATTTTCTCGTGATGCGGTAACAGACAGACAGACAAAAATTCTAAAAACTATAGATTCGGACTCTGTATCGATAATAATGTCTATTTCAATAAGATTTTCCAAAAAATATTTAATGTACAGATTTGACTTAGTTACAATTTTATTATATGTAAGTATAGAATGGATATAATGCATTCAAAACCACTCTGCTTTTCTTTAAAATCTTCCAACTTTATTATAATATTATGTGAATTAAAATAGCTGCACATATGTATCCATAATGCATGTTAGAAAGTATATTGCACTATAGGCTCATCAAAATGAACACTTAATTGAATTAATTATCATAAAATATTTTTTGTCCAATTAAATGAGAACAGTTGATGAGAATTATTACGTCTACACAGAAAAAAATATGAAAATTATTTATGAACTACTATGTCATCGTATATTATACAAATTATATGTCTATACATAATAATAAAATTCTGAGTCGAACTTGTACATTAAATATTTTTTTGGAAAATCTAATTGAAATATTTATTATTATCGATACGAAGGCCGAATCTACAGTTTTTAAAATTTTTATCTGTATGTTTGTCTGTCTACCTGTCTCTAATCTATAAACTGGCGACGTTAAAGTCGACGCCATAGTATAGGGGCAGATTAAAACTAAAGAGAAAGTTTATACAGATTCTCTGTTTAGATAAATTAAATTTGTATAGGTATGTCCTATGTAATAAAATAATCAAATCTTAAAATAAGCATATCACTTTTTTTTTGGATAAAAAGTTTTAAAGGAATAGTACAATCTGCAGGTAATTACGCAAGCTGTTTATCCGTCATAAATTTATATAGAGCAACAAAAACTTAACGAAAACCCATTAAGGCTGCCGAATCTGACGCGGGGCTTGTTAACGAATAATTTGGGTCCCGCCGGACCCCCGTCATAGACAAAACAAACAGCTGCCTGTATAGCAATTTAAGCATTTCTCTAAATGGCCAGGCACAAATTATACCTTATTATAAGCTTGTTTGCTTTACGATTGTACCCCCACAATTATTTTTTTTCTTCATCAATAATGTGGATGTTCGAGCTCGAGCAGTGAAGAAATTACACGTTCGTGGCGGTCTCAGCGCCTCGATACTTAACGCGCAACGTTTCCTGTCCGGGCCCGACGGCTGCCACGCGATATCCGCAGCGCTGTCAGCAATATGCATCCTCCGGTCATTAGGCAGTGACCTCGCAATAATCTGTAAATCAACATCGTGCCATCTCATTTAATATGCATTTGAAATCATTCAATTACTTAATCCCTCCGCGACCGCGGACACGCCGGCGTGTTAGTTAACAATATATTTCTTAGAATTTTAATTAATTTCTAAGAAATTTACCTGGAGGTGTTAAAAATAATAGTTAATGTACATTCATAAGTGAATTATTCAAATAAGGATCACATAGCTGAAGTGCGCTCTATCAGTTACGGCAGCGAGTCTAAACGTTGTCGCGATTCTCGCTTTGGTGCGCTTTTTGCGCGCGTGTAATTAGCCGTTCTCATCTTGGTCCCTGTCATCTTCTACACGTTTTTTTCTGAACGCCAACAGACCACCGTGCGGCCGCGCAACATTTTGATAATTTACCGCTTTATCCAAACGTTAGTGAATCTCGTTAACTGCCTGAGCCGGCCTAAAGGTCACTTTTGTTTGTTTTATACTAATGAAGGCGCGCGAGAGGCCGGGGGCGCGCCGGCGCCGGCCCTGGCGCCATAGGAATCGAAATGGGTCAAAATATTTAATTTATTTCTCGTATTGAACGCTAGTTGCGGCCGCGTGTCCGTGGTAATTGAGTTATTTCACACTAGATGCTAGCGCACGTTTCTAACTCGTGAAAGGCAACAAATTGCTGTACCTTCGAGCTTTTAGCGCTTATACAACACGCGTACAAATGAGTACTTTATCCGAAGTAGAGAGGGGTTGGCTACTAAATGGAAAGCGCAAACAGAAAGATTTGGGCGGTTCGTTTGTGCAAGCACACCCGGGCAGTAGATATGTAGCGTAGCTAACACCTGCCGCGCTCGGCCGCCATGCGCTTGCTTTATGTATTATGAAAGATTTGTTGCTAGACTCCATAATTTTCCCACCTGGATATTGTTGTTAATTGGAATTGTAAACTCGAGACACACCGATCCAGTGTCTATTTTCTTAGGCTCTGCGTAAACTTCTTCTGTATGTGAAGCTGGTTATTTAGGCAATCTAAACACGGCTGACATGTGGAGATGTTGATATATTTATAATATTAGAAACATCAATAAACATCCTTCGAATAAAAAACCACAAAATTTACAAAGTGACACGTTACATCTGCTCTCTATTCGAAGATAATACTACCCCTAATAATCGCCGTACAAACAAACAAATACTGCTTAGGATAGAATAGGTCATTTATTTTTTTCTTGAGACCGAAATATGACAAATGGGCGAGGCGCGCCGACGCAGATCGCTCGCGTGTCGTCGCGCGGACCTCCCGCCATTTTAAAAACAAACAGACGGCATAAAAACTCGTTATTTATTCTCGTGTTATTCCGAAGGGAAGGGCGCGCCCGAATTCGCTTGAAAAAATCATAACTTATAATTAAAAACGTCTGAGTCTTACGTTCATGTTTTCTTTAATGTTAAGTTTCGTTTTGTGACCGAGCCAAGCACTGCGGGGCGGTCGATCACGTAAATTTTTATCACCGCTTCTATGAAGCTTATGAAATTTTTGAAGTATACGATCGTATCGCTCATATCCATGATTTCTGGCTCGGCGCTTGTTTTAACAGAAATACCGATTAATTGATTCGATCTGTGTCGTAATTAAAATGGGTGATTAGAGCGCGGGGAACGGCGCCGGCGCCTCAAAGCGTCTCACCCAGCATTCCTTTTGTTTTACCACGGGTCGTTTGTCGCCTGCGTGTTGCGTTGTTGCGTTGGCTGCTCTGTCCCGCACTAACACTAGAGGTGGCCCACGGGAGAAAGTGAGACAGCGAGAGAAACGCGGGCGCCGACCCCCTGCGGTGCCGTCGGCCGCCCGCCGCGCGCCCCGCCCAGCCTCCAGCGCTAATAATCAGATTATGACAGCCCGAGTCTCAACCGCTTCCTCTACACTCCACTCATCACTCTTCACTGTCTCCTGAAAATTTGACAGCAGTATTTCACTTATCCCAATCGTTAGAATAGTCCAGATCACGAGATAGACCCTGTCTGTTCTGACCTCATAAATGTTCACACACATGATATACGCAGAGTATATTTTTAAATAAAAAATGGGCATATAAGATAGAACTAACTGAAGACAAGTAAATTATGGCAATTGGCAATATATAATAATCTATGGTTTATGAATGAGTCAGAATAAAATTTATTCATGTGATATGTCAGAACACAAAAATGTAAATTGCTTAATTTTCTCCATGCAATTATTATAAAATCGTTATATCCGTAAAACGAGGTTGTTTGAGCGACTTAAAGTTGATTGAAATCGTTTAGTGTAATAAAGGCTTAGATGACGTAAGAATTGATGTCGTTGAAACAAAAAGCATAACGTCATTGTAAGTAATGGGTAATTTTGAATCACGAGGGCGGAGGGGCTGGAATCCGAAGCACGCGCCGTACAGCCGTCGCCTGGCTGATCATATCGCAATGTCTCCAGAGAACGCCACCTCCCTTGACGAGCCCTGAGTTTTAATGCGACGCATCTTTCATTGCTGCTATTAAATGCAGTGACTAAACATAATTGCAGGAAACCACGGCAATGTATCACTTTTAACGCGGACGATGCATCAAATTCAGACAGCAGAGCAGACGCTAGAAGCGCAAAGTCATCACCGACTCCCGTGCCGCAGCCTAAAACAATCGGCAGTCAAAAAAAGGCTAATATGAAAACAATAAATTGAATTTAACATAAAAAATGTGCGGACTACAGCATCGGCGAGCGGCGCACGATTCCTTTTTTGCCGACGAGCGACCCTTGATGATAATTTCTCATTAGGTTATAACATTTTTGTCAGTCGAAACGTCGTAAATTCCTCGAATAATTTAGGGAAGAAAGTGGTCGTGTTAGTGATGTTTTGTTTTTATGGCGCCAACAAACAGCCCGGGTTAGATCGGTATCTCGATACAATCGTTTAACCCATGTTACGTGGAACTGGAGAATTATTCTCACGGATTCCGTGCTTGTTTGCTAACAACATGTAATGCGCTGATAAAGATTACTTTTACGATTTGACATTTGATTTTTGTTATTTTAAAATTAGCTAGACTCGTTGTCTACATTTTTGAATGGGATTAATTAATTTTTATCTAAAGATTTAC